GGCTAAAGCACTTTACAAACATCATTTGATCTTCACAACAACCCTAGGAGGTAGTAGATATTATGATCACCTCCATTTTACAGATAAGGAAAGTGAGACAGAATCCATAGTTGTTCAAGGTCCCATAACTATTAAGTTATCTGAAGCTGTATTTGAACTTAGATCTTCCTGATTCCAAGAAGTCCAGCACTCTATCTACTCTATCTACTATGCTATATAAAGACAAAGGGTGCCAAACAAACAAAACAAAACATGAACATTTAAAAAATTATTTTCAAAACAGTTAACTTGTTCTACGTGAAAAAGAAACAATTCTACTGAAAATACTAAGTACCTTAATATTTCACTTATGCTTACTACTAACAGCCAGCATGTACAGAATGCTTAAAGGTTTGCAAAGTGCTTTACATATGTTGCTTCATAGTAACTTTAATTGTAAAATACTTTGGAAACAATGTCTAACAATATCCAATATCTAAACTAAATATAATCAATAGATAGTATGACACAATTATCAGGATAACACTGAATACAGTCAGTCAACAAACCTTTATTATGTGCTTAACTACATGGAAGACAGTGCTAAGCACTTGAGGATGCAAAGACATAAAAAAAAGTCTGCCTAAGCTTATATTCTAATGGGAGAGATAATATGTAGGTAACTAGGTATCCAGAAGATCTGGAAAGAGTAGGGAGATCAAGGTAATCTAAAAGCAAAAGCCATTAGCTGCTGGGAGGAGCTGGAAAAGCATCCTGCAGAAGACAGTATTTGAACTCAGTCTTGAAGGAAGTCAGGGAACCCAAAAGGAAGGGAAGTAGAAGGTGACAGCTGATTGATGCAAAGCCACTGGAGCCAAAAGATGAAGTGGGAGAAATTGCAAGTAGGCCAGTATAGCTGGATCACAGAAGTGAGGCTAAAGGAGTAAGGCAGAGTAAAAGAGCCAGGTTGTGGTTATGAAAAGTTTTAAATAACAGATCATGGAGCTCATAGAGCAGGCTCTGTAAAGCAAGGAGATAAAGCAGGGAGAAAAAGGATGTGGGAGGGGTTGGTCAAACAGCCCCGAGTGCCCACAGTACAGGAATCACTATACTATGGAGGAGTCGAAGTAAACAACAGGGTTTTATCCTTACCTCGATAAGGAAGCCTATAATCAAAATGAGGATAGTGTAAAAATAAGATACCAAAAAATCCACAAGATATACTTGATACTTGAACCTTTCTGCATGTATTTTTAAATTCTTTCTATTTAGGGAAATAATATAAAATTGCATCTGTAAAGAGTTTTGGTCAAGCTCTTGATTACTCTATATTAAACAACAGAGTCATATCAGTAACCCAAAAATTAATTATTTGGCTTTGTGTATCTGAGCATACATTCACTCTACCTGGCCCCCTTCAGGGTCCGCTTTAAAAAGCACAGAATGACACCAAATATTTCACTTGGAGATAATTAGCAATTGACTATTTAGGAAAAGCTAAGGTAGTGGCTTTATAAAGCAAAGATAGGATAGATTAGTCAAGGCAAATTCAAGGTGGCCCTGAGAACTGACTCTAACCTGACTGAGCATTAATTAGCTCAACAATATTTAAACTTATTAAAAGTTATGTGACTAAGAAACCCAGGAAGGCAAAGTGGGTTCAGTTGGAAGCTAGCTCTACCATACACCTAGAGTGCAAGTTGACATTAACCTGGCGTCTAAAAAGCAGTAAGCTGCTTTTTTGAAGCTATTTTCCAACTTGAGCATAAGTATCTACCCTGATTCAAAGGGAACTACTTATACTAGGTCCTGTCATAAGTGTCAGTCACTGCAAAGAGCACTGACCTTGGAAGTCGCAGGCCCCAAGCTTGAATCCTTGCCCTGCTCTCCAAGTCTCATTTGTAAAATGAGGATGAATGGCCTAGATAACCTCTCAAGTTCCTTACAACTCTAAATCCAGGATCCCATGAGATGATGGTGATAATGGTTATATTTGTACAATAAAGTTTACATAGTTTTCCTCACAAAATCTCTGTAAAGTAAAGGGTATAAGTATAATTAACACCAATTGAAGCTCTGAGTTACCTAAGATTTGGGGAGGTTTTTGGTCCTGGGACAGACGTCGTTTGGTTTCATGACTGTAGGGAATTCCTGCAGATGTCTAACTATTCGGCAACTTCTATCTTAAATAAAACACCACCTGGAGCACTGTGAAGATGAAGGACTTGCCAAAGGCCAAGCTGGTATTTGTGAGAGGCTTCTGAACCTGGGTGGTTTGACTCAAGGATGGATAAAAACCTCTCTCCACTGGGCCTCTCTACACTAATCTGGAAGAATTAAGACAAGACGACAGAATATGGTTAAGTGTCCTAAGAATTGCAAAGTGCTAAGGGCATGCAGGAGGAAGAAATCATATGCAAATACACTGTAGCAATTTCACACGCTGACAAACGGCTATAAACTTAAAACTATTCCTTTACCTAGTTTCCATGTGGCTCTTAAGCTCCAAATACCCAACCCACTTCTCAACTACCCACTTCTCAACCACCCCCCACCCCAGTCCAGTCCTAGCTGCCAAAAGCACCAACAGCTACAGTATATTTTTTGATTAGGAAACACTGCACTCTAGATAACGTTTTCCTGGAAGGAAGATCCTTGTCCTCCCTCAAAGAGTTTACAATCTAGCTGAAGAAACAAGTGAAGAACAATTATGAGGCAAGAAGCAGATTCATAATACTTTAGGTATAGATTTTATACACACTATTTAGGAAATTCAAAATAAAGAGTCCCTTGTGGTAGAATTAGGGAAGTTTTCTTGGAGGGATGAGCCTTAACCACATCTTAAATGAAGTACAGAATTTGAAGTAGTGGAGCACATTCCAGATGGGCAGTGGTGAAGAGCAGTATGAGTGAAAGAACAAGCAGAGGAACAAAGAGGTCCCTATTTAAAAGGGCAGGCCTAATAAATGTGGGGGGGGGGGGTAAGGGTAAAGAAATGAGACAGAGACAGAATGTAGTAAGTACATCTTGAAATATAACAAGGCTTCATATTTCCCAGTTAATATATCAAGGACAAAGGGGGGGAAGGGAAGAGAAGGATGGAACATTTTCTTTTAACTATCTAGACTGTAAGATAAAAAAAAAGTCCAAAAAACAAAGAATCACTGTGCTAATTTGTAGTTTCTATTGATTCTTTAGGTTTTAAAGTGTCATTTTTATTTCTCTGGCTTTGGCAATTTCAGCTGTCAGATTTATTCATTTACCTGGATTAAGATAACTCTAAAGTTAACTAAACTACTAGACAGCTTCTAAATAGGGCTTGGAGCCTGGAGTCCAGAAGAGGTGAGTTTGAATGTGACCTCTGACTGGCTGTGTAAACCTGGTGAGCCACTCAAGCTGTTTCAGTCTGTTTCCTCAACTGTAAAATGTGTATTATAATAATAACACCTCACTCCCAGGATTGTTGAGGATCAAATGAGATAATATTTGAAAAGAGCTTGGCACAATTCCTGTAGAAGTATCTTAGTAACTACTTGTTTCCTTCCTCTAAAATAACGTATAAACACAAAAAGTAAGATTTTTAGTAGCTGGAATTCAAGTTTCTTTACCTGAAAAATTTCTCTCTACTTTTACTGAATGAGGATTACTGCTTTATTTAATTTATCATGTGATAAATTCACTGATTTCATCTGGAACACCAATGGAAAAAGCCCTGAACAGCCCTTAGATCCTAGTTTCTTTTCCACTAGAACTATTAAAAGTTTAGTGTGAGAAGGTACCTTAGAAATTGCCTAAATCTATTTTCTTCACAGATTAAAACTCATACTCAGAAAGATTATGCAATTTGCCCAAGTTCAGAGGCTAATAAGTAGTTTTTAATAAGACCAGGACTGGAACCCAGGTCTTTTCATTCTTAGTCCAATGTTTTTTCCTCACTGACTTCATCAAATCAATTCACTTCATTCTTATGTTTTCTACATTTACACAAGGATATGTACTATATGTAAATGATATATACATAAATGATATCTAAATCAGCTTTTTAAACAGACTTTTTAAAAATACAACTAAGTAACACAATTTAGAAGAATTTCCTACTGGTTATTTTCAAATCCTCAATTTCTGAGGAAACTGATTATAATGATACTAAGGAAACCAAGAATTTCTTGGTCAACGTAATATTTTTACAGATTATCTAGATCTGATTCAGAACTTTAAAATGTACTTAAAACCTTAAGTTTTTCAACTTCCAAAATTTGCTATATTTATATTTATATTCATCTGTTAGAGGCTGGTTAAGTTTAAAATACAAATGTGCATTTTTCTAAAAACTATAAAAATGACAAAAACGTTGTATACAAAGTAAATGACAACTTAGCTAAGTATTTTAAAACACACACACACAACATATTGAAGCTCCTGAAAAACAGCCTATAGAACAGAAATAATGACAGGGTTTTAATTATAGTTATACTTTAATTCTAGATGGATATGAAAGCATTTAGATATCAGACATGTATAAAACCCAACAAGCTCCAACAATATTGTATATACTAAAATTTAAAATAAATGAAATCCCACAATTACATTTACAAAGATGACAGTAAGTCCATAATAGTTCAATATTTCTGGTACTTTATACGAGGGAGGTGAGTGAAGAAAATTGTCGCTGCTGTCTACACTAAAACTCACACTCAATTGTAGCACTATACACAGAGCAAACTATATATAGCAAAAGAAACCTTTAAAAAAAGCCCTCAGCATTTAATTATGTTTTAACCTCTGACAGGAACCACTACAACCAATAAAGCAACCCCTTAATGCTTCCCTCCCCCACGGTGTAAATGCGACACACACAGGCCTCAGATATAGGCCTCTTGCCTTATTCTCCCACACAACTAGGACCTTTGTTCCAAGCGCCCGTTTTTTCCCCTACTCAATAGCTCTTTCAACTTTCTAAACTGCCTTTATTTAAGTATGGCGATTTTAAGCCTCAACTCTCAAAGCCTCGGAGAGATTAAATGCCCCAAAACAGGTCGGGAGAGACTCTCGAGAAGAATGAAAAGTTAAAACCCAGCAGCCAGGGGCCTACGAGGCTGAGAAAGCAGGGAGATCGGGTGGCTGGGCAGCCCCGAAGCCAGTCGAAGAGCCCGAGGCGGCCGGGGAAAGCTGGAACACACCCAGAACGTATTCCCTGCGCCAGTCCGGGCCGGCGCCCCCCAGCCCCCAGCCCCCAGCCCCTCCTCCACAGAATGCAATTAAACTTTACCCTCCTTCAGACGCGATGCTTAAAGCCAAACCTCCACGGCCAACTGGCGTTAATCACTCCAAAAATCTCATTTAAGAATTGCAAGCAACCTCTTCTGTGCACTACAGTAGCCAGGAGTAACCAATTCCCTCCCCCGTCAGGAGTTCGAGCACCGGCGTCACTTAGGCCGGTATGGGGGTGGGTGCTGGGCTCTAACCTCCCCCTAAAAATGAGTAGGAAAGGGAATTGCTTCTTCAAAGGAGAACCTCGCGGCGTGGGTGGACTATTCGCGAGAAAACGCTCGGGGTCCGTGTCCTCGGGCACTGTCATTGAAACTCCCCCCTTTACACGCATTTCTGGGGGAGGGGGTGGGGGGCCGGGGATGCGGGAAGGACGTGTTTATTTAACGCACAAGATGCCCACGTACACACACACGCGCACACACACGCAAACACATCGGGAAAAGCCGAGGCTGTGACAAGCATTTCGAGCCGAGAGCCATCGAGCCTCGGCGGACCCGGGGTCACTTCCCCTCCCGAAGACACAACTTTTCACTTTTTCTTAGGGGGGGCCTGGCTCGCCCCCTCCTCTGGGGTCTCCACGTCCCCGCCCCCCCTTGGCCCCTCCCCGCCTCCATCCCCGCACCGCGGCGCACACACCACGGCCGGCCCAGCCTAGAAGGCCCGCGGCCTCCCTCGGCCCCGCTCGGCTGCTCGGCGCTCCTCCAACCCTGGGGTGCCTCCGCCGGCTCCCAGGCTTCCCTTTCCGGGCCGCCTCGGGCCTCCCAGTGCTCCTTTCCCCCCCATTTCCGGGCCCCTCGTCCCATTTCCGGGGAACCCTCTCCGTCTCCATAGACCCCCCCACCTGCACTTCCGGCCCCCCACTACTCACTTCCTACACCCCTTCGGATGCCTGAACCCCCATTTCGGGCTCCCCGTTCTCCTAGTCGTCTTCCCCCCCACACACACACACCCCCTTTTACTGCCTCCAAAGGACCCTCATTTCCGGGGGCGGGGGGAGCTCACTACCCCACTCTCATCCCCCTCCCCTGGCCAAACCCCTACCCCCGAATCCCAAACCTCTCCAATTCACGTCTCCACAGTGCAGCTTCCCCCCTACCGCGGGCCTGGCCGCATTTGGCCCCGGCGCCCCCGGGCCCGAGCCCGGCATCCAGCAGGCCCGAGAAGGGGCCGAACGGAGGCGATGACACGACAAGGCTCCCGGGGATTTTCTGCGACCCCTACTCCCCCCTCAGTCGCCAGCGCCCCCTCCCTCCCCCCCCCAGCTGCGGTGGGCCTCCCGGCCCGGCCCCGGCAGGCGCGTCTCAGTTACCTAGTTCGGCCCCGAGTCTCCGCTCCGGACTCCGTGGCGCGGCAGTAACTTCCACTCTCTTCCCCCCCCCCCCCCCCCCCCCCAGCGGCGGTGGCGGCGGCGGCGGATCCTCCGGTCCCTTCAATTATCAGCTGAGCCGCAGCACCGCGCCGACCGTCCCCCTCCGCCTTCACCTCCCTCCCTCCCCCTCCCCGCCCCCCCACCCGTTCTAACACTGGCGAGGAACTACTTTACTCTCCTCGCCAGGGGCATCTCCGCGGGACAGGCCCCACTGCCCGACCCGCGGCACATCACATATTACCCCCCCTACCCCTCCACCACCCAACCCCCGTTTCCCGTCCCCCCCCCCCGACCGCTTTCAGATCTCCCGATCCCTACGAGGGACCAGGAAGGTGTATGTGTAGGCTTCTATTGGTATCCCTCCGCCGGGGTCACCCCCTCCACCCCCACTCCCGTCTCTTTTTTGGTAGCAGGAACTAATTCCCCTTTGGGTCCATGGGGTCCCCAGGGTATAAACTGCATGGATGTGGTTTGGACTAGGCCTCTCAGAGGATACGGGGTTGCCTGGAGCACGTTAAATTGGAAGCCCTCTAGACCTTAAGCTGGGGGCCCGATTTACCAGGACTTGGCCCCATGACCCCAGCCCAAGTCCCGCCCCTTCCTGGTTGCCGAGGCGACGGCTGTGGCGTCCCAAGATGGCGTCCCTGCTGCCAGAGACTGTGTTCGAAGCCGGCGGACAAGGCCCGGCGCCGAGTAAAGACTACTACCAACTGCAGATCACCCGGTCCCAGGCGAGTGCGAACCGCGGAACGCCCACCCGGGCCACCTTCCCGTCCCCGCTCGACCCCACCCCAGATCTGGTCCCCGGACGCGGCCGGAGTCGGCCGGAAGCTCCTTAGCCTTAGCCCCTAACAACCGCACAGACTCCCTCGGTCATATCCCTGCCGCGGCCGAGGCAGAGGCCCACGGGGGGCCTCCTCGGCCCTGCCTCGGGCTCGCCCCGGCCTCCCTCCTCCCCACCCCCACTTGCCTCCAAGCCTCGGCCCGCAGTAGGAAGCGAGGAGAAGGCCAGAACAGAGCCGGTCCCTGAGCGTCCCGCGGGGAAGCCGGGCTGGGGGAGGCTCCGGGGCCTGAGTCTGCGCGGGCGCCCAGAGGCTGGAGCAAGTTTTGAACTCTTCACTTGAGCGTTTACGCCTCCGGCCGCCCGGGTCAGAACTTCCGGGTTCCCCTGAAGGGGGTGGGGGGTTGGGGCGGGGGGCGGCGCTGGAGAGAGAGGGTGGTGGAGGGAGCTTGACTTACCTGTCTGGGGCGCAGACCCTCTCCCGGGGCAGGCTGGGAGTGAGTTGGGCTAGAAAAATGTTTCAGCTGCTCGGCAGTGTCAGCTCCACCCATAATGACATCTGCTTCTCAACAATGTGACCGAGGATTGGACTGTCGGGGGAGTGCGGGACCCACCCCGCCGCCGCCGCCGCCGCCGCCGGCGGGGTCACCCCCTCCTTCATTGTTTACCACGGCCCTGCAGGGGCTGGGCACATTGTGGCGAGGCGTGGAGCGTGGGGGCTCCGGCAGCCCTGGGGCGCATCGGGAGTCACCCCCCCCCGGGGGGAGGGGCGCAGCTGCGGGAGTGGGGGAGGGGAGGAGGCGACGTTCGCTGCTCTATTCTTCTAAACCATAAGGAGATAGGAAGCTCCCTGAGGGTAGAGCCCGGCTCGTGGCTGCCGAAGCTTGGGCCCCCTCCCCCACCCAGCGCCGGGCCCGAGGCATTGCACCCTCCACAGTGCTGGCGGCGGGGAGGGGGCCGGGGGATAACTTAGCCCGGGTTCAAATCACCAGCGGGTAAATGGGGTGGGTTTTTCCAAGTGCCCCAGATGTCTTCAGGAAGAGAAAGCATAGCGACGTTGTAATTATAGAGTATGTGTATTCCTAGAGCTCCGAGTTTGAAAATGCTGGTTTCTCTTAAACTGAATGTGTTTTAAAAGCTTTTTTAAAAATTTGTTAACATTTGAACAAATTTGTTCGATTTGTTAAAGATCTAGGACCTTGTAGAAACCAAAAAATAATGGATTTCTTAACCTGACAAGCACATTTGTACATTAAAAAAAATGATAACCCTTACATTCTTATTGTGCCCTCAAATACAACTCTTTTCAGCCTTGGTTTGGAAGAAAATCCCTTCTTTAAAGATGTAATCATTTTCAGATAGGCCCAGTACCTTGTATGTAGTAGGTGCTCAATAAATGAACAGAGGAATCCAAATATCGGGAATGAGAAGCCAGGCGTAAATCACGTGTGGGAGAGAGATTTAAACTTGACTTAGATTCTTTCAAAAAGATAGGGAATGTGAGGTTTTCCTTGTTTTTTCTCCAGTGGCTATTCCCAGCAGTTTCCCAGAATCCCAGTTATCCCAGAATTTTGAGGATCCCTTCTAAAGCTTCAAAATTGTCAGATATTAAAAAGCAGAGACCTTCCTACTGCCGTCGGCATCGCATCTCTGCTATATACCACAGTGAAATGAGCGTACATAAAATGTTTTCTTCCCTTGTTTCTACAACAGTGCAAGACAACATAAACCTCTTTATAGACTACATTCATTTTTGTCTCTGTGTATAGCCCCCCCAACCCAATGCTGTTCAAAAAGTAGGCTATTAATAAATGCCTCTGAGGAGGCAGGTTGCACAGTATATAGACTGCTTGATCTGGGTTCAAAGTCCTCTTCTAACATCTACTTAGCTCTGTAACCACGGGCAGGTCATTTAATCTCTCTGAGTTTCAATTTCATTGTCAATGAATTGGAAATCATAGGATCGTAGATTTAGGGCTGAAATGGCCCAACCCTCTCATTTACTGGCATAGTTGACTTGAGGCTCAAATGACCTTATAAGAAGAGTTTTGCTAACCTTAAAGAGCTATATATCAGTTCTTTTTATGATACATCTTATCTGTCATCCAAACAATCAGAAAACTTGAATGACTTGAACATTTTTTATTTCACTTTTGTGAATGAGAAAAATTATAAATATCCTAATATGTTCTATTTTAAAATGTGGCTTGTGTTATAGCCTATGTTCAGTATAAATTCATCTTACTCTTTTACACCTTTTTCATTCATATTACAATAATTGATGTGCTAGATTGAGTGTGTGTGTAGATATACGTAAATGTAAATATGTACGTATATATGACATTTGTATACTTGTATATACCAGATTTTCTGGGACAGTTACAGTTTAAAAGTTGATTATGATGTGAGGTGATAAAGCTGATAAAAAAAACAATCCTTTATCAGACCAAATTTACTGATCCAGAAAATATGATCTATTAATGATGTGTTAACCAAACATCCACCAACAGTCTGCCTAAGTGGAAATTTATTATACCTAGTGCCATGGTTACCTACTGAATGATTTATTATAAGGGAGGATGGGGGAAAGGGCTATTGCCATGGTTATGATTGCTTATTCCTTTTAATCAGTTAACAGATATAGGTTTACTACCTAAATTGTAAGCCAAGTATTGTGCTAGGTACTGTGGAGGATACAGGGAAACATAAGGTATGGCCCCTGTCCCCAGGAAAGTTTACAGTCTAGTTTGGGAAGACAAGCTGTACATAAAAATTTAACTCTTGAATTGTTATTTAACAAGAATGCCTTAAGGCACTATCTAACTAGTTGCAAAATTGAGGGTATACACAATAATACATTAGCAATATGTGTTGGCTCAGTTCAGAAGCTACCTCCTAAATGATACCCCATTACCACCAATTATTCATTAACCCCCCCAACAATTATAGATATTTTGCATTTACTCTTGTATATATGTTGTTTCCACACCTTCCCAGTAGACTATAAGCTTCTTGAGAGTGCAGACTATTTTGGTTTTTGTCTTTGTATCCCCAGCACATAGAAAGCTCTGGCACCCAACTGTTAATAAATGCTTGTTGAATTAAATTGAGAGAAAGGAGAAATCACTTTGCCCTGAGGTAATTAAGAAAGTCATGACAAAGAAGATTGTTTCAAAGATTTTTACTGATGTTCTTAAGAACCAATATTTTTTTCTATTGAAATCAAAACATCACTTTCATCTCATTTCTTCATCTGTAAAATGAGGATAATAATAGCACTTACTTCCCAGGGTGGTTGAGAGGATTAAATGAGATAATTTATGTTCAGTACTGTGTAAACTTTATGTAAGCTATGTAAATGCTAGCTATTATTACTATTGTTGTTGTTATTGCAACAGATAGTCTGTGTTGAAGAAAAGGTTCAGTGAACAGCATCCAGATCCTCATGGTTGTAGCAAAGGTCGTGAGACAGCTGTCCCCACTCTCCCTCCCACTTACTATGAGTCAAGTCCTCATAGATAACTACTAGGTCCCTTCTGTGCCCTGAGAATTTAGGGGGTCATCTTTGCTAACACTATACCTCACAAGCCCTCACCGTTGTGCTTCTTATCATAATTGTTGATATCATTTAGTTAGCCAGACTCAGTTCGTTTTTAGAAAGATCTAGTTACTGAGATGATACAGTGAGAATAGTCGGTACCAACCGTACCACCAACATTCTCTGTCACAAGCTCCTGCCAGTCATTGGGAGGGAGAGAAGGGTGTATGGGGTGTTGAGGAGGTCTAGCCCTTCTGGCGTGAGGGCTTTCTGAGCCCTTTCGGGGCTGCTTGTCTACCTCTAGTGTCTGCCTGATTCATCCTGTGGCTCCGAGAAACTGGAGTGTGCACAGTGACCCACCCCACTTTATTCCCATCCGTTCAGATATAAGGGCAGACGTTCTCAGTTGACCCTACCATTATATAGTGAACTTATAGAGCTTACTTATAACAGAACTGTTATAGAATAATAGTAGACCTAGCACAGCAGGGCCTTCCTTGTTAAAATGTAAGCTCCTTGAGGGTAGGCATTATTTTATTCCTTGTATTTTTGTCCCCAAAGCCTAGCACAGTGCTTGACGCATAGTAGGCCCTTGATAAATGCTTGTGGGTTGGCGATTCCAAGAACTTTTCAGACATACTGAAGCTATTCTATATGGTTGTGATCTGCCTCAGTTGATATTGTCAGTCATTTATTAAGGCTTACTGTATATGCCCTTAGCAATGTGCAAAATGTTCAGCACTTAGCCATTCCGTAATCACTAAAATAATAGAAGGTACATCCATAAGGCTTTGTCTTGTTTGACTGCTTTTACTGAACCCTATTCAAGGAAGCAGCAAAGTAGTCCTGAACCAGTTTAAAATAGCTCTTAGTCATCTGAGAAATCCTCTCAACGCAATAGGCCATGGCACCCATTAGAAGCACATGAAACATCCAGGAGCTGCTGTAATTGGATGTGACTGTGCTTTTGAAACACATACACTGCTCTCAGACTTATAAGAGTCATGGCAACCCTGAAGACAGCTGAGGCCACTACCAGCCTGCACCAGGGAAGTCTTTACACAACTGAAAACATTCATTGGCCAGGGGAAACTGAAAACTCACTGAAATGTGACTCAAGCTGACCAGTCATATGCTGATGGACAGAAATAGAAAACCAGATCAAGAATGCCAGTGTCCTCTGAGAAACTGGGAGACAGGACACAGTGCCAGCAGAGCACCCATCTCCAGCCCCATCTGAAGGGCTAGGGAGTGTATGCTTTAACTGGACAGATCACATCCTCTTCATGAAAAGGTTTATCCGTATCCACTCTGGGCCATACACACATTAAATAGCAAGGCAATTATAATAACAGCTAAATCCTAGATCAAATGAGATAAAGGCAAAGTACTTTGCAAACCTCAAAGCACTA